CAAAGGAACAAAAAAGCTAACATGTACACTACAAAACAGAGAACGCTAAATTAATGCTATTAGCAGTCATTTTGTGCATTTTCATGTAGCAAAAGATGACTTAAATATGTAAAAACTTAATACTCATACGACCCTTTCGTGCCTTAAGGTAACCCTCGTGCTATTGATAGAAGAAACCAGACAAGTAGTGAATAGGTCTTTATTTCAATCTCCGCGCTCTCACAGTGGAGCGTGGGGTTACTTGATTAGACAAACAAAGCCTCTCAACATTCAGTATAAGATAATAGGAAATATAACGCTTATACAAAATAAGGAAGTGAATAAATATTTGAACTATATTGTTTTGGCATATGCTTGGTTGTTTGAGGTTAACTCTTAACCAACCGACCTAAGCTGTTACAACCAACACACCCACGGCAATTGAAATACGGAATGACCGCCTTTAGCTAGGCCGTTCGAGGTCGTTGAAACGAAGCGGCGGACAGATTTGAAGAGGATTACCGAATTTACTTTGCCCCGCGGGCTCATAACAGTACATCCTGAATAGGAAAAGTAGAATATACGGTTAAGTAGAAAAAGTAAATTACCAAGAGTACGATGATTGAACAGTTTTTTGATGGTTAGAGACGTAATCGGAATACTGCAGATTAACCATCTCATAGATTGATGTAGGTATGTACTTCATATTGAAGCTACCTCTCCTAAATTCAACTAGCTAACGAGTTGGTCTGCACATTTCAACTGTGCAAGTTCTATTGGTCATGAGTACTACGAATAATTGATCAATGTAGGGAAATACTGCAGTCACAACACTGGGCCACTGACAATAGTTAATTTAAAGCCAGCGTGACAGTGAAAGTCATGTTGTAAACTCACAGTTCTGACTACCTAAAGGATCACTTATGAACTGCGTGTGAAATCGGGTACGTGAATCAATACGGCTAATATAGTAACCCACAGGCAATGTACTGAACAGTATCTTCAACTAATTAAGTGTTCGTAAACCGATAAATTGAGTACAAACCATGAAAGCATAGGTTTTAATCAAGGGGATAAAACAACATTATATGTGTAAATAGTTATTAGTCAGGTTATTTATCAATTCAATTCTTACTTTTTTTCCCTTAAATCGGCCATATTGCGTGCTTGTCAAATCGTAACATAGCTTTATGGCGATGTCGATAAACAATTTATGAATAGCATTGAGTTGGAGATTAGCTATGAAAAATAAAAGAGGTAGCGCTGTTATATGTGTCCAAGGTTGTAACAAATTCTTGGCCCTCAACAAAGTCTTGAAAGTGCCGTGCAGAAACAATAAATAGCTAGGAGTTCCATACCGAGAGTGCTATACCTCAATTCGGTGCCTAGCAACCGTCTCGAGAAGAATTCCAAAGGTTGCCATGTGTAGTCAACACGTTTTTGTAAGACTTCTCCGATCGCCGAAAGGGATGCGTGTACTGATAAACTAATGGGTGCTTTGATGTCGGTTGCAGACATCCTTTAATGGCCGCAACTTTTTCTTTTATAGGTCAGATGCTTTAATCACCAAAGCCCTGGAAAAATTCGGAATTCGGATCCGATTCGACACTTCTGAATGTCTACGGAAACGACGTGTTTTGCATTCGTTCGAAGTCAATGTCCAAACACTGGATATGAGATTATGTGTCTGGAATTTCATTCAAGCAGTCATCTACAACGCACGTACAAAGTTGAGATCTCGAAAAACCTTTGGCGGCCGAATGATCCCTAAATCTATTATGTGATCGAATTCGATTTTAGTCAACCTCAGCTTTTCGGTAGCTGGTCGTCGCGCTTTCGAGAATACAGATGGTTCTGTAGTTGTGATGTCATATTTAACATCGCTGGTTGGACGCTGTAATTTCGGTCGCGTTTGGTACGTTCCAGAGCACTAAACGCGTATTTATTGGTAGTATGGATTAATCATTTGCTTTACTATGACTGGGGATAATCTACAACTGAATGGAGAAGTTTCACAAACAGATAACTTGATAATTCCGTCTACTAACCCCCGTTCGCACGTGTTGATGAGTAAATAATGATGTTGTAGCAGGGATATACCAGTGATCGGCAAAGAACTATCTGCAACAACGAAGACCCAGTAGATGAGTTGGTGTAAACCCATGTAAAGATAAACATATCGCCAACTGTATGCAGTGACGCCTGTAAGTTCAAAACTGCTTCAAGCAGTAGGTCGATAGAATTGGCTGAAAGAACGCATACGTTGGTGTCGACGAGGTAGCCGGCTACGGTTGCCGATAACGCGTGCTGGCTAGGAAGTTTCCCGAAAAGTTTTTCATGTCGAGCGGTACCAGCACCAATCAGATTTATCTGTCTCATGTGATCTGGAGACAGATCGTTTTCGTGAAGTACACTTTCGAAGAGTGTGTGAGAGTTTACAGTCACCACAAATATTAAGGCAGCTTGTCAATGCGACGTAACGTAATTTCGTGTCGTTTGATTTTTTTTACTGAATAGGCCTCAGCGTTTGAAGATCTGGTGATCTCTAGAATTCAGTTGTAGATGCAGCCTGCTCGTACATGACGTTGTTTTGAAATGGGGCAAGCACTGACTGCATCCATTTAGGAAGCTTGAACAAAAAATGTTGTCTAAACAATCCTTCGTCAAAAGTTCGTTGACCTCTCAGTCACATTAACATGATTGTTGCTGAGCCATGTTGTAAGTTTTCGGTCATGATGAGTATAAAGTATAGCCATGAATGAGAGAATATATATTCATTAAAAGTTTATTAGTCTCTGAAAGACCCAGAAAGCATGCTGAAAATTACTCGAGGCAACGGCAAAAATGGTTACAGAAAAATCGAACATGCACAATTGATTGGTTGCCATGATAGCTTGTGAGAAACCTTAGTTTGAATCTCCAAAAACTCCAACACGAAAAGTGTGCAAAACACACAAAAACATTTTGTTTGAACGAAAAGAAGACAATAGATCCCTACAGAATACTAAAATCAATTGTATGAAAGTAGGCGAAGTTGAAATCAGCTAGCTCATCGTTCATGTGTAAGGAGCTAATCACAAGTTAGCTTCAGAGAAATATAAAAAATTCCAAGATGAAATATTCGTATCCAGCTATTGTACAGGTCTAGATTCGAGATGGGGACATTCAGAAGTTATTTTGAAAGTATGAAATATCTCAAAGCATACAACCCTTATAATTTATTCTGAAATTGTGTCCGATCAACGGATTACTACACATGCTTATGAGTGCAGAGACTAAAATTGTCCTGAGTTGAGATTTTCGAACTCATGAAAGACATCATACTCAAAGATTGGAGAATGTAAATATGGCTAAACTACTCCAGCTTGTATTATGCTTAACGAAGAATGATTTTTATTCAGGTGGATAAATTCCTTGGTTTAAAAGTGGAGAAACCCTCCAAATACAGTAAATATGACAACTAGAATTCTCCGAATAGATGTACTAACTTGGAATTCCCAGAATAATACTATTTAAGTCAGGTAAAACCAGGTGAGCACAAATAGTCTTATTATGTTTGGAATTTGTAATAAACGCTTAGACAAGTACAAACGAACCGGTATTTAGTACAAATATCGCAGTATTGTTTGCCAGATTGTGAAGTCATCTAGCTCAGATGAATGAGTTTTATGAAATTTTGTTGTGGATCTCTAATCGCTTTTCTGAACGATGAGTAGAAGTTCGTTCTGATGTTCAGAAAATTGATGAAATAGTTCACCTATGTGAAGAGAGTAGTCTTTTTTGTCAACATCAAGTTTCTGACTAGCTGAATTTGGTTCTCAGCATTCTCGTGACTCGAGTTTAGCCGCTTAGTAAAATTCCTCAACCGTAAACAATGAGTGTTTTGATGTAGTCCACTTTCTATATAGATTCAACAAAGTATTGAAGGGAATCACATTACAAAACAACACTTGAGTATGCCAAAAGTTCAAGTACAACGTACATGAAATCATAATATACACGACAAGTGGACTGTCACCGAAATAAATGAATCAAGTGCTGAAGCAATGACGGTCGAACTAATGATTCATATACTGATATCAAACAGATACCCGCCCGTTTTCTCACTCGTGGCTACACGCTACCATACAATAGGAAACTAAACAGTATAATCAGGAATAGCTAAAAATAGTTCTAGATTATATGGTGACAAACTCATCACTGTTAGGAAACCAAGACCTATGGTTTCACAGGACGTAATAGGAATGGTTGCGTAACAACCCACTATATTGACACTTCTGTGAAGACCCAGAGATAGGTGATGCGAAGAGCTAATGATGTTATCAACCATACTAAGGATTAAAATAGGTCTGTAAGCCCTTACAAAATATTGATCGCAAACATATAACCAGTGGTCAATCTTGCCTGCTGTTAGAGGTATGCGGCGGATATCACTTCCCGGTCATTCACACCGTGAAGGGTTCTTCTAGGGGCACCTGAAAAGGGAACTAGGTTAGGGGTGGTCTTAGTGACATGAGAGCGTGACCGCAGTGCCTAACGGACAATTACTTCAGGACAGTTACACACGACTTTTTCGTGATTACTTGTTGGGATTTTATCGCTAGAGATGGATATCCGTGGGATAAGGTGTGGTGTGCATTGTTTGGGTCGACCTTTCCTAACCCCACCCCTTCCTGTGGGAAGGCAGCACTGCTGTTATGCTGGTTATCTGAAGGAAACACCTTACTGTCGTCACAACTTTGTACAGCCAGTTGTACGACTTTCACCCTTGGACCTTGGGTTTGCTGCTTTTAGTCTTACCGCACTTCAATCGACCTGTCTGGCATGGTAGGACATTGAGGAACGATTGTTTCTGCCAGTATAGCTCGATTGGTTCGTTACGATAGGTAAGCTCGATCATCAACTCAAGGTGGCAGCAACGGTCGGGATAACCAAATGTACTAAAAGTAGTTAAAAAGATACATGATGAAATAAATAAAACCGCCGCATTTACGATCGTTAAAAATGCATGCAGACTAGTACTATTTGAAACTGCTATTTATTGCTTTACACAATTAATAGAACAGGCTCATTTCCGATGATAAATTTGACAAACAATAGAAAACCAGGACGTCGATACTTTTTAATTTGTTAATGAACTTGGAGGACATTATTAAATTTAGGAAAATGAATGGTGCGTTAACGACTTATGAAAGGAATCAACTACATAAAGCAACTAATTAACAGCAGAGAAATTCAATACTACATATAGTTGAAATATCTTCATTCAATTCAGTGTGATAAATTCTAATCAACTACACGTACAACAAAACAAAGTAGTTCTAAGTGTTAAGATAAATAATGAGGAAAGTGAGACAAAATGACAAATAGGGTAAACTAAAAGACAATTAAAAGAAGTCTCTCAGAGAATCAGTTAATTAATAAACTTCATATAAGAGCGAAATAAATCTTTACGGAACTGTCAAAACTAAGATAATGACAGGGCATTTTTCAAATAATGAGAGATCTCCATCAAGTGCATTGCTTTATTCCCAGCAGCTGTAGCAGCACTAGGTTGTCGACCGGCATATCTAAAATAAAATTAAACACAGTGAGGATTTAATAAAATTAAAATCAAGTTTAATAAAACTAAACGACAACGTAATTGCAACGATTAAAGTGGTACAAATAAATAAAACAGCATATCTAATCCTATATAATGCTTGATATATAGCCTACATATATGAAAAGGTAAAACTGTGCCTGGTCCGCCGAGATGTTCATATACGATTTAATCTGTTCGAATTCAGCTTTACTAATAGATATTTGAGAATTACTAATGTAACAAGATGACTTACAAGTCGTATACATAGTGTTCCGTAAAAATAAGGTTGATTGTGCAATAATAATAATCATGTAAACAGTAGAGCTATGAGATTTTAATCCCTAGATTTTGCTACAAAAGTAACAGTTGTCTGTAAAAAAAAAACAATGTAACATAAACCAAAAAGAAAGCTAGAAAATACCATATAGTTGTTTCATAGATATAAAGAAACCGGTTATAAAAGGTTTTCTTGGTTAATATGAGTAACCTGATAGATAACAATATACAAAATCATTGCTGATAGTTTTACAATCAGTTTGGTCATTGTAGATCCCTTCACTCACTTTTGATTGTATGAAATATCAAAAAAGTAATACCGTTAACCAGCAAAATGTAACAATATTACGAATATTTGTAAAGATAGTTCATACTTAGCTGTATAAAATATTACTTCTATATATATATATGACCACAAATTAGCATTCTATGAGCAATTTAGACATGAATTTATTCATATTGCAATAAGTTCATGAAGATGGCATAGTAGCTCACTAGTGTTTTACTGTCATACAACTAGTGACTTTGATAAACATTTTAATATAGAATTTGGAAACAAAGACGTTCACATAGTCTGAAAACTTAGTAAACAAAAGTTTATTAATTGCTGTTGTGGAAAACAGAAAAAAATGAGTGAAAAGAAATCATAATTTGAATAGAATGGAATATGTCAACTTACAAAATTTTATTGTGAAGACGATTAGACATTGTTCTAAATATTAAATGATTAACTCTTGGTTGTACATAACTCCATGGTCCCATATTTTTATGCTCCTCTTGTACCCACTGAATAACAGCATTTGGATAACGTTCTAAATCTTGTTGAATCAAATCATATGGAAAAGGAGTCAATTGTTCTACTCGGCTAATAGCTATATCTGCCTCTCGATTAATCGATCTGCGTTCTTTATCTAATTCATAATAAATCTGAAAAATAAAACGAGTATAAACAACACTGCCTCATAAATATTCACTGTAGTAGTGCTTTAAAATGATTGTATTAATGAAATGTGAAATTACGATTTTTTATGTGTAATCATGAAAAGAATTTGATGATTATTAACACCATAAAGTGACGTTGGTTAAAAAATTATCAAAAAGTAGAAAGAATCAGATAGAAGTTTATTTTAATCTCAAATTCTGATTTTTTTAGAGTAGCAGATAACTGAAAAATAACTGAATTGTTCTCTGAAGTGTCCTTCTCAATGTTCTAATCATCTGGGCTGTGAATAGATTGCGGTCCTATCTATTTCAAATACAGTCTTCTCACTAACATTGAATTATGTATATATCAACGATTATTATGGGTTTTATTATTTGAAATACAAATAGAATTAATCTTAGAACAGCTAACAACAAAGTTGAAAAACGATAAGGTTTTACGAGGAACTATTTAAAATCCTGGTGGTCACAGACAAGTCCAGTCACAAAAAATACTAGGAATAGATATAATTTCACAGATAGAGAAACCTGATGAGAATCAATTCTAAGGAACTAATGATGGTTTTCGACTGAAACGCTGACAAGAATATACTATGTATACAAAACTAAAAGTTAGTGAATAATCACAAACGGAAAGTAGACAATTAAGCTTTTTTTCCTAAATAATCAAGGAAAATTAAACAAGCATACATCTCATTGATTATAACTTATTTATTTCAATGAGGAAAAAAGGACCGGGAAAGATATTTCCCTATGAAGAAGTAGTGATAATTATTGAATGTCATTTTACATAGTAGCATGACTAAATAGATTACTAAAGTCAATGCGGGGCACTAGGTAATGTAAAAATAAAAGTCAATTAAAAGCACATTTCTAGATTACTGGTTATACCAAACAATGAAATAAAATCTAGGCAGAGCTTCGGGCATATATACACGCGCCACTCTAAGTTGCTAATGGCACACTAGCAATGGCATAGTGGTTAAAGCGTCTGAGTTTCGACTACCAACTTCCGGGCCCGAGCCCCATTCCACTTAATATAAGTCTGGGTAATCGTTTAGTGCCATTACTCCTCACATTTAGAGTGTGGTTCATATCTAACTAACTGGTAGATGAGTTAAATTATTACCAAGAGATAAATTTAAAAAGATGGAGAGCAAATGAATCAAAATAGTATAGCAGAAATGATGTTAAGAAAGACTGAACATTGAGAATATGGTTTGAAACGACAGAGCTAAAAGATATTTGACGACCAACGAAACCAAACATCTAATCAAGCATTTGGACATTTTATGACTTGAAAGACATTGACACTTATCCAATTAAACCTGCAATTAAAATATAAGTACTCAGTCCCAAATAAATTGAAACATTATGGATCAACGGTGTAGGATTAACAATTATGAACATGTTTTATATTTTAGAAATATTGTATAAACCAAGTAACACTACCACATACTTGCAGTTTAGGAGTGATAATAAGATCAATAGAGTGTAGAAAAATATTTTGCATGGCAGAATTGGTAAAGCTCTTAAATAAACAGAATTATTCTTGCAAAGATAAAAAATAAAACTAATATGTTCGAAAAGTGTTTAGTAAATAAGGAGTCTGGGTATCAATAATCAGTGACGAAATAAACTGATTTGAAAATAGACGGTGAAGAACCGAACATTCACTTGAATAAGCATTATACACCTATATAATCCAGTAAGTACAACCTGGCTGTGTAATCAGCAAACGATCACTTCGAAACGTAAGACAAATGAGGAAGCAAATACATTTTGTCATGCATCACATTGCACGTAAAATACATGATAAAACTTACTTTGCCGCTGCAGATAATTAATTTTTTCACATTTTCAGGTTTCTGTGAAGCTGGACCACTGTCAGGAATATAGCGTTGGAACTCTGAGCCTGGAAGCATATCACAGAACGGAGATCTTGCATCCGGATGGCGTAATAATGACTTGGGAGTGAAGACAATCAGCTAGAACAAAATTGCGCAAGTCACATATGAAAGTTATTAAGAACATAAAAGTGGAAGAATATTGTTGTACAAAATAAAAGCAATGATATTTATCTAACCACCATATTCTTGCTTAAGTAATTTTTTTATTTTTGGAATACATGGACGGGTTAAATTGATCTATACCACTCAAAGACAACTGTTGTTTAATCAAAGCATTAAGTAAACAACTTGATAAATCATGGTGGAAACATTTAATACACTATGGCCTAATAATCATCTGGAAGTGATATTTTGTAGAATTTACAAATACAAGCTCATAGGTTGTGTTCACTTAGAATGCAAGCTCCTTTCTTAATGATGAGAGGATTAACTTCAGAGATTTTTTGTAGTGGTTATTTAGTGATTAGAGGATTAGACTTTCAACCAATAAATTCTAGGTATGATTGCCGCCTTACCTAATTCTGTTTTGACAATCTGGTAGTATCGTCATTGAGATGGTAAGGATTCGAGGTCCAAGTGGATGATTTTTGTGAAGTTTCATCCTCTAGGTTCAGAGAACGAAACTTCACCAAAATCTGTCATACATATAGTGTAGTTCTAAGCCAAGTACACGAATCTTTACTTCGTGAGTTGTGTAATAAATCGGCTTTAAGTCACATTCTAGATGTAGAGGACTAGTGATACTATATTATTACCCCGACTGAAGGAGGTTTTAATCAGAGGTCTATTGGTGACCTAACTATTAGGCTAGCGCTCTTTAAAAGTTGAATGAAGAACTTTACAACGAACCCCAAATCACTTACTGGTTTACGGAACGGTAGCAGAATTTGTCGTCGTAAAATATGGAAGAAATTCGCTGGTGTAGTACAGTTTGCAATAATCCAATTTGTATCATGTAACTGTTGCATGACAAAATTATCACTATAAACCTAGAATAAAAATTTTTTTTGAAAATAAAAAAAAACATATTTGATAAGATTGAGGTGTAAATTATTGAATTTCTTTCTTTGCGATGATGAAAATCATTAAAACCTGATTATATTGTATAAAGTATTTCGCTAATGAATATGTTTTGATTGTATACGAGATGATGTATTCTACTAGACTCTAGTACCAGAAGTAAAACAAAATAAAATTGTCCGTGCAACGCTACGGTTTTAGTGATAAATTGTTAATCAAAACACAAAAACAAGATTAAGAACACACACATACACACTAGCGTGATTATCAAAAAATGTACTCATATAAATGATAACATTAAAATCCTACTAAAAATACAGATAAGCTGATATTTTGTTAGTTTATACGAAAGAAGCATGAAAGAAATTAATTTGCAAAATGATAAGAAAAAAGAATCGCCTGATTATCCAGTTTAACTAACAAAACATTCTTTAAAATGTACAGATTAGCTACAGAAATTAATAAGTCATATTTTGTATTCTGAACAAGATTATTTTAACATAATCGTTTTTACAGAATTTTCTAGTGTTCTATAGAAATAAATTTAATTAGATTTTAAAAAAACAAACAAGCAAAGTTGATTTGTGAATGTAAATTTTGAGAATTGATGAGAGATAGTAATTACTATAGTGAATATTCACCGTAAAAAAAGGTATTCCAATTCAAACAGAAAGATTACCCAGAAATAACTCATTTCTAAATAAACGCAGCTATCCAGATATGAATTTCTTGTTTACTGAATTCAATGACTGAATAACTAAAGAGAGGATTTTTCACCGGATACTGTGATCAAGACAGGTAAAGACCCACTTTTTCCATCATATAGATAAATAACACACATGAAAACTTCACATTTCATTCAAGGTTTAACTCATTTTCCTAAACACAAATCAATGAAGATATATAGCTAATTGAAATTACAAACAATTGATACTTATACGCAAAGGAATTTATCTCCTATGAATCTGATAATGCATTGTAAGACGATAGTTCCATAACTTGGTAACTATGTCCAATGCTAGTAATACTAAAGACTAAGCGACATACAATTAACACCTTCGGCAGCAACTACTTGGAACAAAAATGATTACTAGTTTCAGTGTCAACAGTAAACCATATAAACATAAAAGGAAAATCATTGACAAGAGAGAATGTTGAGGCTTCTAATAAAAAGAATAATATGACGATTTTACTACACCATTAGAGGAATAAATTATGAGATACACAGTCCTTGCAAGAAAAACACTAAACAAATGTTACTTCCTATGGTGAAACGATTTTTCTACATATTATTACTTCGAATAGCACAGACCTGAACTACATTGACTAATCTGTATCTTATTGAAGCAATTTCCTCCTTTGTTTTTTACAATAAAATACATCTCCACAGACGTCATGAAGGAGAATTTTTATGATCTAATGAACGAATTTTCTATCGTCGAAAATGAAAGAAAAGAATACTGATTGACAGATGATATGATTAAATGATGGCTACTAACGAGATGAACTCCGCCTGTAGCTCTAACAGGGTTACTGCCGGTCCCAAGCCCGGATAAAGGAGGAGGGTTGGGCATGGGGTTAGCGTCCCCATCCCGTAGAAAACTAACTCGCTAAAAAAACGCTTACCAGAAAAAATAATCCAAACCATTTAAACTCTGCCCTGGGAGTTAGAAGGTCTTCAGTTAGAAGAATTATGACGCTTCATGGTGAAAGCCGAGTTCCTTCGGAAGCCACGAGGCCGATGCCCCTTCTAACAACTAGAGCAAAAATTTTTATAGGTACATGGAACGTTCGAACAATGTGGGAAACCGGGAAGACCAGTCAAATAGCAATGGAAATGAGGAGATACAACTTAGCAGTACTGGGAATCAGCGAAACCCACTGGACCCAAGCTGGACAGAAAAGGCTAGCTACGGGAGAGATGCTGCTATACTCCGGTCACGAAGAGGAAAATGCTCCACACACTCAGGGAGTCGCTCTTATGCTGTCCAAAGTAGCACGAAATGCACTTGTAGGATGGGAGTCTCACGGATCCAGAATCATCAAAGCATCATTCAAAACAAAGAAGGAGGGGATCTTAATGAATATTATCCAATGTTATGCACCCACCAATGATAGCAACGACGACATTAAAGATCAGTTCTACGAGCGGCTGCAGTCAATCATTGAGAAATGCCCAAGAAAGGACCTAACTATTCTGATGGGAGATCTAAATGCCAAAGTCGGAATAGACAACACTGGATATGAAGATATTATGGGACGACATGGACTGGGAGAAAGAAACGAAAATGGAGAAAGATTTGCAAATTTGTGTGCATTCAACAAATTGGTCATAGGAGGCACAATATTTCCACACAAGCGTATACACAAGGCTACATGGATCTCACCGGACCACACTACAGAGAACCAAATAGATCATATTTGCATCAACAAAAAATTCCGAAGGACAATGGAAGATGTGAGAACCAGGAGAGGTGCTGACGTAGCTTCAGATCACCACCTAGTTGTAGCCAATTTAAAACTGAAGCTGAAAAAGAACTGGACAAGTGGACAAACAGCACTACAAAGGTTCAATACAGCCTTCCTTCGAGATACTGACAAACTCAATGAATTCAAGATAGCTCTCAACAACAGGTTCCAAGCCTTACAAGATCTACTGAATGAAGAAGAAACTACTATGGAGGACAACTGGAAAGGCATCAAGGAAGCATTAACTTCAACGTGTCAAGAGGTTCTGGGCCTAAAGAAACACCATCATAAGGAATGGATCTCTATAGAAACACTGGACAAGATCAAAGAAAGGAAGAACAAGAAGGCAGCAATTAACAACAGCCGAACACGAGCAGAGAAAGTCCAAGCACAAGCTGAATACATAGAAGCAAACAAACAAGTGAAGAGGAGCATTAGAGCCGACAAGAAGAAATACGTGGAAGAACTAGCAACGACGGCAGAAAAAGCTGCTAGAGAAGGAAATATGAAACAGCTTCACGATACAACGAAGAAACTAGCAGGGAAATACAGTAAACCAGAGAGGCCGGTCAAAGACAAAGAAGGCAAGCCAATCACCGAAATTCAACAACAGCGTAACAGATGGGTAGAATACTTCGAGGAACTCCTGAATAGGCCGGCTCCAATGAATCCACCGGACATCGAAGCAGCACACATAGATCTTCCTATAGATGTCAACCCACCAACGACGGAAGAAATTAGAATGGCCGTCAGACAAATCAAGAACGGGAAAGCAGCAGGACCCGACAACATACCAGCTGAAGCACTGAAATCAGACATCGAAGCAACCACAAGCATGCTATACCTTCTATTCAAAAAGATTTGGGAGGAGGAACAAGTGCCAATGGACTGGAAAGAAGGACACCTCGTCAAGATTCCAAAGAAAGGAGATCTGAGCAAATGTGAAAACTACAGAGGCATTACACTACTGTCAATACCAGGGAAAGTCTTCAACAGAGTGTTGCTGAACCGGATGAAGGATGCAGTAGACGCCCAACTTCGAGATCAACAAGCTGGATTCCGTAAGGATCGGTCGTGCACAGACCAAATTGCAACACTACGGATCATCGTCGAACAATCAGTTGAGTGGAACTCATCACTATACATCAACTTCATTGATTATGAAAAGGCATTCGACAGTGTAGATAGGAGGACATTATGGAAACTTCTTCGACACTACGGAGTTCCTGAGAAGATTGTCAACATTATCCGGAACTCATACGACGGACTACAGTGCAAAGTAGTGCATGGAGGACAGCTGACAGATGCATTCCAAGTAAGGACTGGAGTCAGACAAGGCTGTTTACTCTCTCCCTTCCTCTTTCTTCTGGTGGTCGACTGGATTATGAAGACCTCAACATCTGAAGGAAAACACGGAATACAATGGACAGCTCAGAATCAATTAGACGATTTGGACTTCGCAGACGACCTAGCCCTCCTATCACGTACACACGAACAGATGCAGATGAAGACAGCCAGTGTAGCAGCAGTCTCTGCATCAGTAGGCCTCAGCATACACAAAGGGAAAACCAAGGTCCTCAAATTCAAGCGGAGAACAGCAATCCAATCACTCTTGATGGCGAAACTCTGGAAGATGTAGAGTCCTTCACATACCTAGGAAGCATCATCGATGAACAAGGAGGTTCAGATGCAGACGTAAAGGCGAGGATCGGCAAAGCAAGGGTCGCATTCCTACAATTGAAGAACATATGGAACTCAAAACAACTTTCAACCAATATCAAAGTGAGAATCTTCAATACGAACGTCAAGGCAGTTCTACTGTATGGAGCTGAAACTTGGAGAACTACAACAACCACAATCAAGAAAGTACAAGTATTTATAAATAGCTGTCTACGCAAGATACTCAACATCCATTGGCCGGATACCATCAGCAATAGCCTTCTGTGGGAGAGAACAAACCAACTTCCAGCTGAAGAAGAAATTAGGAAAAGACGATGGAAATGGATAGGACATACATTACGCAAATCGTCAAACTGCATCACGAGGCAAGCCCTAACTTGGAATCCTGAAGGGAAGCGAAAAAGAGGAAGGCCAAAGAACACATTGCGTCGGATAATAGAAGCAGATATGAAAAGGATGAATTACAACTGGACGGAGCTGGAAAGGATTGCCCAGGACAGGGTTGGATGGAGAATGCTGGTGAGTGGCCTATGCTCCTTCACGAGGAGTAACAGGCGTAAGTAAGTAAGTAACTAACGAGATGGTATTTTTGACGTAAGTCCCCAAATGATTTGGAATCAACGATAAAACTAGCCAGAAGAATTTCTTCTTGTAAAAAAATAACAAATTTATGTACGGAATACTAAGTGAAGAATAAGTATGATCAAATGACATAAACCGACTGAACAATTTTGTAGATTCTTCACCCTCCAATGAATTATATCCCAACTATTGGGTTCAATTTTATGTCCGTCATAACACATAATGTTGCACTAGAATTAATTCGTCCAAAATGAGATATATTATAAAAAAAACACAGTTGTAAACAGAAAAAATATGTGATTTTTGATTATAATTATTGACTATTTTAGCAGCATGTATTTATAGCATTTTAGATGGCTTTGGGCTTTGGAGCCCAACTAAACAAAGTAGCAGGATAAGTAATCATCCAATTAGAAATGTGACATGTGGCTCCACTTTCTAGATGCTTTTGAGAAACTTCTATTTAGTGCTGAATAAATAAAATGTTTCCAAGCGTTTAAAAGCCTCTCTGGGCTTCTTTCGAAAAATATTCTGGCTCTTTCCAACATGCAATTAAAATGGCTAAAATAAGTCGACAATAACAATTCCTAAGAGAGAACGTTACTGTTTGAGTGATAAAAAGTAGAATAATGCCTGACTTTTTATAACGACTATGCATATATCATAAATTTGCATACCATTTAAACTTTTGATTTGATTATTTATTTATTCTCTGAAGAAGTGGCTTACAATAAGTCACGAAACGTCAACAAATCTAATTTTTCTACTTATTGGGATATTACAAATATATTATTTATTTATAAATTTGTATATAGTTTATCTCTATACGGATTTATGGACGGAATAATTACTTGTATAAGTCTATACACAAAATTGAGCATTCGAGTTGTCCATTATAAAAGTGTACAACAATCTCCAAATATATTTGCGCGCTAATACACAATAAAGTAATACAAAATGATAGCACTATATGAGAACAAGTACAGTATGTATAAATAAGCGTAGAAAAGTCCTTAATATTCTCACACTGGTTATCTACTAACAACTAAATGCCAAAACAGTAGTTTTGGTAGAAAAGCATATATAAGAAGTTAAGACAGCAGAAATCGTTTGTTATCACAATCCACAACAAGATAGTATAAAGCAATTAAAATTTATTTCCATCAATTTAAACACATAAATATTGCTAAAAGGAGGCACCAAATACATATGCGCACACTTCATTCGACTTGTGTGAAGGCGAGGATACTGCCCGGGTGCCAAAACCGAAGCAGGTGGTTTTCTTAGGGAGCCACTCCCCGAGCCTTTAACCTAGAGGTCTATTACATAAGACAGTGGAGCAACGTTAAGAAATGCAGTCCCATAGTAGCCGGTGACTAACAATAGGTTCATACGCCATTTGTTACTTCAGGATGCTGGAGCCCATGTGCACTATTGGTTTGGAATCTGGGTTTTCACAACTCCCCTAGGTGAACCCCACCGCGGGAAGACAGTGAGTTGGACTTCTCTAGCAGTGTCTGTATACACGTGGCCATTTGAGAGCATACTGAGAGAAAGAGCGGACTCTCTCCACACTCGGTCGTACTAGGGTATCAATAACAGGAGCATAAACGACGAAAGGCTGTATTCCCCAACAAAGCTAAAATCAACAATCTATGGAGTCATGGACTAATGCTTTCGCTTGGTCAAACAACCTTTACACCTTTCTTAATCTATTCTTATCTAATCTAACCGCTATGTTTACAGTAAAAAGATTATCTAAGGCCATTTCGGGATAAAAAAAATCTCATTCGTGATTCAATAAGTCGTCAGTCAATTTTTCTAAAAAAACTTTCTTGACATTTTTATTATGAAGCTGAAATTGGACGACTGCTTTTGCATTTAGTACCGTCCAGATATACATATGGTCTCATCAAAATACAGTTGACATTCAAATATTTGTTTTAGGAGATGCAGTTTGCAATTAGTCTTTTATGATAGTTGTTGATGATACGGTAGAATTCAGAAAAGAAAATACATGTACGCAGAAAATGATTAGCCATATGGACCCATCAAATTTGCTTACCATTGACGGCGACTGAATACAATGATATAAATGGGAAAAGAAAGATAACAGTAAAGTATTAACAAAACAACGTCAATCAACAAAGCGCTAGTAATAAGTGATAGTTCCAGCTTTCTAGATGTCTCACGTCTGCTCAGATGACAGTGAAATACTTTATTTAGCGCTTCCGAAGATAACACGGTCTTCTGATAACACAAGCTGATACACCAGACAAGATGATATATCTACTGGCAAACATCGAACTTCAGTTTAAATGTTTAAAACACGAAAGAATGTGATGCAATTTGAAATAATGTCAGACAACGTACGGACAACTCACTGAACCATGCAAACGGAAGCAACACACTTGAATGATGATGAATTTTAAGTGCCTCTAGGTTAAGGCACTATATATTTCAGGTAGGTTAGAATAAACTGGTAAACACATACCTATCGTATACATCGGACAGTATACAAAAATCGCTCTATTAATTTGATGTTGGAAACCAATATATAAAATGATAAACAATTGTGAATAAGTATCAAACCTATGCGCTGTACAAGTCATAACTAGAAAAAAACATGGGAAACAATATACTTACAGGGACATGATTTTCCTCATCATTACTCATCTGCAAGAATCGTTCGATACGTGCACTAGAATGTTCTGGACCCATACCTTCATAACCATGTGGAAGCAAAAGGACTATTCCTGATTGACGTACCCATTTTTGTTGACCAGAAGAAATAAACTGATCAATTATACATTGAGCAGTGTTGTTAAAATCACCAAACTGAGCTTCCCATATAACGAGAGCTTCAGGGTTTGTCAATGAGTAACCCAACTCAAAGCCCATTACTGCGTATTCAGATAAACTCGAGTTGCATACAGTAAATGGTGCTTGTGTAGGATAGAGATGGTTAAGCGGAACATATGTTTTCTTATCGACTTCCTGAAAAGAAAAAGTTTGATGTGGCAAGCGTTCTAACATTAGATATACTTTGCAATATATATTGAAATTAGGCACGAATTTCAAAATTTTAGTAGATAAGCCAAGGAAAAATCAGCATACGAAAATGATAGCTTTACAGTGTGCTAACATCAAAATAAATAATTTGTTTGGAAAACTTGTAAGACAACTATGATGAAGTCCATCATTTAGTTAAATATGCTAGTTTGGGAATTAAGACTAGAAAATTGCTGATAAGCACAATTTGAACAACCATACATGATGTGAAGAAATTAATGGTTTGTTCTTGAATGCAAGATGTAAAATGGACTATCTGGGGGATTTAGTTCAATAAATTGTTCAAAACAACCAAAGTGAATATTTGCTAACTATTAAACAACGCAGTGGAACATTAGGTGGGTAGAATGCAAATTCGAGTAAAAAATCATTCATCCTATTTCTTAGATCTGTACAGTTTTCATGAAATTGCTGCTGTTCTATCAGATCGACATTTCAACTACTATTACAGAAACTAATACCAGAAAACTATGCTGCTGACAAAAGAGAAAAGTAGTGGGACAGGTTGTTGCCTTCAAAACACTAAAAATACCTGAAACATTTTCTGGCGATTAGTCACTATTCAGTGATAAATCAGTTGTAAATGTACCTCAGTCCAACAGGTTATTCGCTGGGCAAATAACCTGGTGATAACGTCTGTGACTGTGGAACTGAGTGATACGGGGTCGAATACACCAGGGTGCATCAGTTCCCTTAAGATTACAGGTATACCGTGTTGATGAATCTGAAACGGCACGAAAAATAGGTTTAGGACCACTTGTCGACTGTCAGATTATACTTAGAAATGGAATATTAAAACCCTATTCAGTTAAATTGTAGTGAATATATATATATATATATATATATATATATATATATATATATATATATATATATATATATATAAACGTTTACTATCATTATGCTGGGGCCTTACAATGGATACTAACTTGAAAAAATAAACTGATCTTCGGGCAGTTGGCGAAGACAGAGATCTCTAACCTCTCTTCACTATTTGAATTCCTTTCTATTATTGATTTCTACTCTGGGTTTCATCACGTACGGATTGCTTGTAGCCTATAATCTAATTTTCACTTGTTGGTTATATATCCGTATACAAGGCGATATAGCCTGGTGGTCTAATAATCTCAAACCTAGGATATTATTGTATCATACTGTAATTCATAGTCACCAAATCGTTTCTATTTCCCCGTCATCATAAAATACATTATATTCATATTAAAAATGAACAATATACCTGATCGTGTAAAACACAATGTCGATGTGAAAACGTTCCACGTTCCACATCTTGACCTGATAGTCTAACGTGAACACCCTCTCTTAGCAATGATCCATAAGCGAACAATTCACCAAGAGCCCAATTAGCTGTTTTCTGTTCTAATAAATCTTTGCGCTCCTTGAGTGCACGTTTCAAACCTGGATGAATAATCATACCTTCAGGAGGTTCACTAATTGCATGACCTAAAAAAGAAGATACTTATATTACTATTAAAATCTAGTTTAATGAAACATTGGATTCAAGACGGAATAATAATAATAAGGAAACTAAACAACCACTTTTTGTGCTGCCTCGATTACCTCAACCCAACTTGAGTTCTAGATAAGTGATAAGGAAACCATAACTCATTGTTTCACACACATAATATGGGTTAATATTGTCCACATTTTAATTAGTCTATGATTATTCTCTTGAGTCATTTTTGCTATCCATCAGATACAATTTCAAAAAAACAAAATATAATTGTATTGTAGTCTTTTTATAGTGAGTAAAAAACATCTTTTGAACAAAAATTTCAACAATTACGTAGCTTAAATATAGTGCAATAAAGAAATTTAGCATTTCGGACTATTTCAGTTCAGTACTGATTCCTCAATATATAAATAAATATTAGCAGTAAGTAGTCCGTCTGATGATATTGCATACAACTTTCAAAATACTTGTCTAGCATTGATCATCAAAGTGTTATATGTTTAATAGATAATGTTCGTTTGAAATGGCTTTCTTATTTATTCAACTGAGTGAATACTATGGCGGTAATCTATTTATTATCTAAATCTACATAAAATTACCCTTCATTATACGATAAGTTTGGAATATAATGACAACTTTAACCTATATATCTGTGCTGCATTGTTATATGGTTAGACCATTGACACATCGAGTTATTCATCCGTAACGATGACCACGCACAACTGGAGACCGTTTTTAGATCAATCATATGGTTCATTACTCATTGAAACGTCTAGTAATTTAAAAGAATCCATGTTTGTATTCTCTTCTTATTAATATGAATTCAAGTTAAACCAATGTCACATAGGTCTAAGAAATGCAAATGACTGTAGTGAATATACTTCCAGAATGAATTTAGCGTGATATACTTAGGCTAGATAGTTGTGAGGCAAATAAGACAACAAAGCAATATTAGAAGTCTAACATGAAATACATTGGGAACGAGATACATTTAACGTGCACTAACATGCAGATAAACCAACAACAAAGAGAGCGAAGGAGAATGAATTGTATGGTATTGTTACGGAGTGAAAGCAGTGATAATTCTAACGGAAGTTTCGAAACAGTATACGACAGCTTCATTCTTTCCTAGTTCCAGCAATTCCAAAAGACTTGCCCTTTTCTGCTTTGTTCGACTGTTCCTGATTACTGTCTTCATGTTTTCCTTTCTTGAATCGTATCCAGCATTTCCATAGACATCTATTCCTAATGATGATGGTTCTTGAGGCCTAGAGCCTCCTGACACATTGAAATTAGTGCTTCTTTGATCCCTTTCCAGTTGTCCTCCATAGTAGTTTCTTCTTCTTTCAGTAGATCTTGTAAGGCTTGTAACCAGTTGTTGAGAATTATCTTGAATTCGATGAGTTTGCCAGTATGTCGAAGGCTGTATTAAACATTTGTAATACTGTTTCTCTTGTTGTCCAGTGCCTTTTTATCTTGGCAACCACCAGTTGGTGGTGATGTCAGCTCCTCTCCTGGTTCTCACGACTTTCACTAACCTTCTGAATGTTTCAGTGATCCAAATATGACCGATCTGGTTCTCCGTGGTGTGATTCAGTGAGACCCATGTAACTTTGTGTATGCGTTTGTGGAGGAATTTTGTACCACCTATAACTACTTTGTTGAATGCACATAAATTTGTGAATCCTTTAGCATTTTCATTCCTTTCTCTGATTCGATGTCGTCCCATGATATCTTCATACTGGGTGTTATCCATTCCGGCTTCAAAGTTTAGATCTCCCGTCAGGATGATCAAATCCTTCACTGAGCACTTCCCTAAGATCACCTGTAGCGTCTGATAAAACTGATTCTTATCGTCTTCATTGCTATCGTTGGTGGGTGCATAGCACTGGATAACATTCGTTGTGAATACCTCCTTCGTTTTGAAGGATCCTTTGATGATCCTGGATCCATGAGATTCCCATCCTATAAGTGCATTGCGTTCTTTTTGGGTCTTCGTGATCAGAGTACAACAATATCTCTCTCGAATCTATCCTTTTCTGTCCAGCCTTGGTCCAACAGATTTCACTTAATGCGAGAACCGTTAAGTTGTACCGCTTCATTTCCACAGCTATTTGGTCGGTCCTCCTATTTCCTATATTGTCCGGACATTTTATTTACCGATATTAATTGTTACTTTGGTTGTTGGAATAGTTAACGACCTCGTGATTTCCGAAAATTCTCGGCTTTCACAATGAGACGTTATGATTCTTGCAAGTGGAGATTCTTCAACTCCCAGGCCAGAGATTGAATGGTTTAAATTGTGTTTTTCTAATCCGAGTTTTTTGGCAGGACTGTTTACTACGGAGTAGGGTTGCTGTTCCTATCATCAAACCTCCTTCTTTATCCGGGCTTGGCACCGGGACGGAAATAACGAATAAGGTGGAAAATAATGTTGTAAACGATAACATTCCAGTAAAATCCCCATGGAAACCTACCAATATGTTCTAAGACATTGTTTTCGACTCCCGTATTAGGTAAATACATCGGATTTTTATTTTCGAAGAAATTTTGCCATGGAGAATCAATCCAGGCACGATTATGTGTAACTGTCCGTTTTTTAGCTAATTCATAAGCATCTTCGCATATCTGATCATATTTAGCCACTTCGTCCTGAAATATAATGTAGGAAATAAATGAAATGTTTTCCAATAAATATAGAAAAATCTATGTAGAAATGAATGTTTTATTAAGCTATATTTCTCACTATTGCTAGTATTCTCATTTTGGGGGGGTGCAGGTTGGTTTATTGGTCGATGGTTTACTCTTAAACACAAAATTATGACTTGGGAGGCAAGATTCGTACAAATTAATTACTCTGTTAATACATGATTGAGGAAGTGAACAAGTTTATTAACTGGACAGTACAATAAATTGATTATTTTAATAAGGTTAATAAGATTAGTCACGTCATATCAGAACCAGAATAGAAAACCAAAATTATACTAGATAATTCTTTATTCAACGACGATTACAAGCACACTCAATGAGTTCGGAAGAGAAATCACATATTTAATGGTCAGTAGGCTAAGTGCCTGTCTGTTTACAACCAGTGACCAATCATCATATTTTACTTTCACTAACACATCAGAAGAGAACCTCATAACCAGATATTATAATATGAATAGGATCATCCCTTTTATGGAGTAGTACAAAGTAATTTGATGTTTTCTGGAAACATAATGTGCATCATTACACTATTGTTTAAACTAATATCTGAATTATTCACATTAACTACGATCGGTGATTTATAATTATGTGACTTAATATGAATAATGGGAACAACTCTGTATACAAAATTAAACATTGGTAATAATTAAACTATTCAAATAAATATGTTAAATTGATATTAATTTACCTTAAATTCCTGTTCAGTGACAATTCCACTATCAATTAACTTCTTACTATATTGTTCTAATACAGTTGGTTGTTCACGAATACGTTTATACATAAGTGGTTGAGTAAACATTGGCTCATCCATTTCATTATGACCTGAACGACGATAACAGACAAGGTCAATTACAACATCTTTTCCGAATTCAGATCGCCATTCAGCAGCAACTTTTGCAACATGCATGACTGATTCAGGATCATCAGCATTTGCATGAAGAATAAGTGAATTCGTTACCCTAGCAACATCAGTACAGTATGGTGATGAACGAGCCATACGAGGGTCAGTGGTAAAACCAATCTGTAAAATATATCCCATTAAAAGAGTAAAAATTTAAAGCATTCATTTTGTCATAATCTAAATTGATAAGTAATGATGTTAACTACTGACCTATTCTACTACATAGATTATAAACCAAGCCGGAGGTAGAAAGTCCATAAAAATCATATTTTCTAAGCAATATATTATCTGTATCTTTTTTAGTTTATTAAATTGGATGGCACTATATCACGAATTCATCAAATTTGTAAATATAGATCATATGGTTAAAAATCATTGGTTTGCAAATGGTTTACTTATCACAAGAACTGAGTTCAATCTGTATTGGTTCATGATTATGAACTGCTGAAGAATACCAAATAAAAATGAAACAGCTATTCACTATCACCTTAATTTTTAGTAGTTCTTTAGCTGGAACTAGTACAACATGATGAAAACTATCTTTAAATTGAACTAAATTAGACAAAACCCTTAACGAAATTTATTAGGTTGTTTATAAATAGAAAGTATAAATTCCCAAAAATAAAAAATCACTTTGATTTCAATAAACTACTAATAAGAGAAGAAAACTAATGCTTAAATTGTATTAAGTTAATAATTATTGTAAACTACTTTATTTAATGAATATATTTAGTCAGAAGCAACGCAGAAATTCATACGTACGTACATCAGTTCGAGTTGCCATATCTCATTAGCACAAAGATACAATTATCAATTCAAATACCGTAGTGGTAGAGGTAGTAAAAGTATAAGCAGTATTCGTTAAGACTAGGGTTTGAAGATGTTATTCAAAGAGTATAATCCAGTGAAATAAATTTGGAAAGAGAAAAAAAAGAGACAAGGAGGAATAAGGAGATCAAAATTTGGGAGAACACAAAGAGTGGATGCACCTGCGCCATTGCAAACGATTTTGATCCATCTCATTCAAAATCTGTAACCATCGGTTGCTATCGTCTCGTATATCCCAACCACGTAGTCTACACCTACACCTAACAACATGGCTCAGTCCACTCGTCAGTGACTTTATGGGTTTGTGCCATGTTTTGGTTTGGCCGTCCCTAGCTTTCTCCTAACCTACTCCTACACCACTGAACATCGCACGTCGAGGCAGTCGGTCGTTGGGCATACGTAACACGTGTCCCAGCCATCTCAACTGATGAAGTTTCACTACGTCATCAATTGACTTGCCATCCTTACCTAGTACCCGTTTCTTAACAACTCCATTACTTACTCGGTGGTTCCAGGATATACGAGCAATGTTTCGAAGACACCTATGATCAAATACTAGTAACCTACGAATATCCTCTACTCTTACCGGCCATGTTTCTGATGTAAAAACTATAAATGTACTAACGTTTTCCCTATTGTGCTCCTTACTTCCATCTAACCTTGTTATTTGGAATATAATTTCTTTCCTGTTCAACCGTGTTCTGATTTGGGGACTTGTCGAGTGATTCAGTGTCCAAGAATACTAAGCAATAAGAATAGCTGGGTCATACTGTAAGAAGAGAGATTAAAACACACGCCCAACTAATTCACTTCCTATCATTAGTACAGGTGTCGATGCAACCCAATCCTGAAGTAACATTTTGCATTTCGACGGGGCGGGATCGCATCGCTTGCATTGTTGCTTATAGTGGTCAGAAGACTCTGCAGTTTGTCAGCGTCTTCACCAAATAACACTATGTCATCGGCATATTCTAAGTCAACAAGTGAATCGCCCGGTATCTTTGAAAGCACGTCAAAGACAAAATTAAACAAGAATGGAGAGAGTGGACAGCCCTGACGAACACCACTTGAGGTAATCAATTCTGATGACAGTTCGCCATAAGCTCTCACTCTACCAGTTGTGTTCGAGTAGAGAGCCTTTATAAGGTTAATGTACTTCTTTGGTACTCCTTTCAGTGATAAACACTGCCATAGGACCTCCCGACCAACAGAGTCAAATGCCGCATTAAGGTCAAGAAATACTACTATTGTGGGGCGTCTGAACGTGTGTCTGTGTTCTAGGACCTGACGCAGTGTGAATATCTGGTCTATACAACCACGTCCAGGTCGAAAACCAGCCTGGTTTTCTCTAGTCTGCTCTTCACGAGCTTTAGTTAAGCTAATATTTTAAACACCATATTAGTCAAACTGACCCCTCTGTGATTGTCACAAGAGGACTTCTGTCCCTTCTTATAGATTGGCACAATCAGTGATTGAGACCAGTCAGATGGGATTACGTCCAGTTCCCGAATTCTACCTAAGACCTCAGTTAATCTCACTGCTAATACTGAACCACCATCCTTAAAAATCTCAGGAGTAAACCTGTCAGGGCCTGCTGCTTTCCTTCGCTTCAGATTTCCTATAGTTTTTTCAACTTCGTAAAGAGACGGAGGACCTACATTACCTTGCCATTCAGGTTGACTGGAGATCGGGAGAAACCGAAGTGTGGCTGAAGGCCAATTGAACCGGTCCCTAAAGTGTTCTGCCCATCGATCCCATCTCCTGGATTGAGAATGTATAATATGTCCATATTTCTCTGAGATTGTTTCGCTAACAGTCGGTTTCTTAATACCGGTTTCCTTAACAAGTCTGAACAATTGCCTATTACCTATTGCCGCTGCCCTTTCCATCTCTCTTGCTTTCGCTACCCACCACTGTTCACGATCATTGCGTAGGCTTCTTGTCAGCTTGCGCTTAAGTTGACTCCGCTCTTCATTATGTTCAGAGCCAGATGGAATGAGTTTCCGAGCATCTATCAGTGCGACAGATGCTGCTGAGATCCAGTGTTTCTCCCTAACATTATGGTTTACCGTACTAGCAGATATCACTGCTGTTTCCACAGCTTTTTGGATATCATTCCACGCTCCCTCGGGGTGGGCATCACATACATGGCTGCCTAACTGTTTTCCTACTTGTTCCTGAAATATATCCTTAGCTTGATTATCATTAAGTAGACCCCTAAGAAGTTTTCTTGCAGCGTCTTTCCTACGTCCAGTAAGACGTAGGCAAATACGTGCTCGCACTAGAGCATGATCTGAGTCTAAGCATGTGCTCCAGAATGAGCGACAGTCTTCTATCGAGTCCCTCCATCGGTGGCTGATAGCGATGTGATCCATTAGGGTCCAACGTTGGGACGAATCCAGGGGTCGCCATATCAAAAGATGTTTGTCCTTATGCTTAAAGTTAGTATTTACAAGAAACAGGCAGTTATCTGAGCATAGCTGCAACAGACGGTCACCAATAAATAAATAAATAACTGAGAATTTATAATAAATAGTTATAAGTTGATAAAGTAAAGTACATTTTTATAAATTTACCCTTGACCTACAAAAAAAGACTGAAATTTGATTTTTTTGTTGTTGTTATTGTCTTGTTTTCAAAATAGAAACAAATTATATTGTATGTGAGAAAAAAGTATAGAAATGAGATGATCTTTTCTGATATTCTAAACAAAAATTCCATTGATTAAACAGGTCAGTAGATTAAATCATGAGTCATTTATAACCAACATACTTAGACTGACTAAACTAATATTAATAGATAATTATGTAGTAAAAAGTGTTGAATGAATTCAATCAGTTCAGTCAATTTTGATCTTCATAACATTTTATTGATTCCCATTAGTTATAACTACAGAAATTTACCCTAAATATTACCACAATAATAAATCAAATAATTGTTAGACATTAACACCGTTAGATGCCGGCCGACTTAGTGGTCTTATGGTTAAGCGCTCGCGCGCTAGACTGATAGGTCCTGGGTTCGAATCTTGCGGGGGGAAGGATCGTGAATACGCACTGCCGGGGAGTCCCATACTAGGACAAAATGACCGTCCAGTGCTTCCAGGTTTTCCATGGTGGTCTAGCTTCAATTGACTCATGATTTCAACCAGTGAAATTGTCAAATGTTTCAATCTACACTTGTCATTATTACATAGGATGATATAACTAAAGTAATCAATACATTGATCATTACATCAACAGGATACTGAATACTTGATAAAAATTGTGAGAACTACTCCTAAACTTTAGATATTAATTGAAGGAATATTCATCATAACTGAAACGTGTATATTTACCTACTTTGATAATAGTAAAAAAAGCACTGAAGAAGAACAATGAAACAGTAATGGTTGGCTGAAATCTTCTTTAAGATAAAAAAAGTAGTGTGAGATGAATCAGACAAGATTTGATAGATCACATAATTAATTAGGTCAGGGTGATGTTGTGTTACAAATAACTGAAGATAATTTAAAATTGTATTTAATGATAAATACAATTTACCTGATTATTAACGACAATATGAATGGTACCTTTAGTTGTATAAGAAGGTAGATCACTAAGATGGAAAGTTTCATAAACAACACCCTGACCACTGAATGCTGCATCTCCATGAATTAAAATCGACATAACTTTCTTTCCATCACTATCACCCCTAGAGTATGAAAAAAAAACAATGAATATATATTGCTAAAGTATCACTTTTTAGAAAAATTGTTATTTCCTATTTACAAGCCAAATAAAAAAAGAAATAAACACGACTAGAACCTCTATATGTGAAGCGATCTCATGTAAAAACTAACATTGAACAGTACAGATACTTGGTTTAATAGAAAACGCCACACAAAAAATGAGATTATAAAATGAACATGAAAAAATCAATACAGTACTAATAGCAAAAACTCGAAGAGAAAACAATATTTAGATGAGAACAGAATAAATGGAGATTTAATTTGTTTCAAAGATGCCTGCAAGTGTTTTTGTGAACGATAATAGAAAACTATCGTTGACTTCAAGAGTAATCTATATTTGATCAAGTCTCAAATCATAAAGTTGCATGATCAGTGATCTGAATGAGTTATGACTAACTGACGGATCTTAACCTGATAAAGTTAACCTTCATTTTGCAGAGTCATGTTAATAAGCTAGTTACTTTCATGCAATCTAAAAATAAATATCCGAATTGCCGTATCAAATTCAGATCATAATGATGATGATATTCCTATGCGGTATCTTAATTTCTACATCACACAAATAAAAATAGATTTACACATCTCTCATAAAAATAAATTGCAACAAAATGACAGTAAAATCTTACCGATAAAATTGTTCAGCCTTGGTTTTACCTTGAGCGACCGGACAAACAGCTTCTAAGTGACTTGGATTAGCACATACTGCAAGATTAATCATCTTGCCTGTCATATGATTTAATCGTTGATGACTCATGCCTAAATGATATTTCACATCACCACTACCTTCGTCACAAGCTTCCAATTTAGAGTCGAACTGACAAAATATATCATCTAAAGGTTTACGACAAACGTTGGCTAGAACGTTTAACCTTCCACTGAAAAAAAAACCCAGAGTATTGATAAACTAATGAAAATATCTAAACGATTATTCACAACTGTTTACATAAATGAAATAAATCTTGAGAAAACTATAAAGCAAAAGTTGTATTTTAAACGACTATTCATCAAAATTAGGCCCCGAGTATAGATTAGTCATTATATGTGGAAATTACAATTGAAATAATCTCAGCGATCTCAACGTTCGAATTACTTTAAATTTCAATCACCGAGATTATTTCAAATATCATTTTCCCACAAAAGTATTATTTAACAGAAGACAAATACATCATATAATAAATAAGTTAAGGAAAAGTGCTACAATTGTACTGGCCTAAATATAAATAATATTGCGAATAGTAAAAGAAGAACAATAAAATATTACCTATGAGATCAAATGTCATGATTATAATGCAGCTTATATGGGAGAAACTTCCAGATAATTGAATGTGACGTTGAAGGAACATAAACAGTGTTTGAAAAATGTTCCCAAATCCTCTGTTGATCTAAAGAAACTTGAGAATAAGTTTGCGATAGCGTCACATGCGTTGGAAACAGGACACAAGATCAATTTTGGAAGGACCAAAATACTTCAGAAAGGTTTTAGCACTCATAAAGTAAGATTGACAGCCGAAGCGCTGTGTATATAGGCGAACAAGAACAGCCTGAACAGAAAGGATGGTATTCACCTAGCAACTACTTGGCAAATATTCGTTAACAAGTAATTAGACCCTTTCTCTATCCAACCTATTTATTTCACATGCATCGTTATTATAACCGAAATTAATGTGGATTATTTTAGCAATACAATTATGTATTTGATTATTTTCATTTTACATGCACATCAATGATTTTTTAACCTTCAAATTGCACTTTTATTTTTCCTTCATATAAAAACATTAACACTGAATATCATTCATTAATAACTCAATCTTACACATAAATACACACAATTCATTCAGTCATTTATTTTCACATCGTGAACTTTTTACATGATTCGCATTTAATTGACTCATGTTATCCTATTTACTAAAGTCAGCATCTAAATATTATTGGATTAGCACAGTATATATTTGATCTGATTTGATTGTTAAAACGCTAGATATTTCTTTGGTGATTTTGATTATTACCCTGAAGAAGTTCAGACAAGTTAGCTGGATGAAATGTTGAAATTATTCTAAATTTCAATCGCTGAGATTATTTCAAATATAATTTTCACATATAAAAGTATTATTCAATAAAAGACAAATAAATTACATTGGTTGAAGTTAGACATTAACACCGTTAGATGCCGGCCGGCTTAGTGGTCTTATGGTTAAGCGCTCGCGCGCGAGACTGATAGGTCCTGGGTTCGAATCTCGCGGGGGGAAGGATCGTGAATACGCACTGCCGGGGAGTCCCATACTAGGACAAAATGGCCGTCCAGTGCTTCCAGGTTTTCCATGGTGGTCTAGCTTCAATTGACTCATGGTTTCAACCAGTGACATAACAAATAAGGAAAAATGCTACGATTGTACTGGCTTAAATATAAATAATATTGAGAATAGTAAAGAGAAAAAATGTATCGACACGTCATAGAGTTCATAAACTGTTTATAGTGTAATAAGAAAACAAAGATTACCAGAACCATGTCTTCTTATTGCACTATCCAAATTTATCAGAGGGACTAATTGCTTCTAGCTGTTTATAACTTTTTCATAACATTTATATAAGTTCATAATCATTTTGACTGTATGAATAAGCTAACATAGGAATACAGATTTGATTGCTATCATATGTTCAGTTACAAACTTGAACGTCTATGGATAATGAAATATATTAAATTAGAAAAGATACCTGTGTCAATTAGCTTCCAACATTTGAACTAATGTCACTTGTCCACAACTCCATCAAATTTTACAAATTTATTAATAAATAATTGTTAATTTCATGAGTTTCAAATAGAACACATGGTTAATAATAAAGTTGAGATTTGAAATAATCATTAAAAAAGTTAGACTGATATTTTACACTGGTATACAATATTTGTATACAACCGACAATTAGTTTTATTACAAAATTCTCATGTATATCCAACAAGTTGCAATAAACTAATAGATTTGAGCATTCACAAGTAACGATTACTAGAAAAATAACCGGTAAGCTAATCATCTTCAACGTAGATGTATGTTAGCGGTATAAATCTCCACCACAATAGAATACTTATTAATACTGTAACAGTGAATGCTGAATGGCATAAAATGCTTTTTTAAACAACCTGATAAAAACTGAAGTATTCAAGTCCATATGACCTAAATACATAAGTACTGTCACGTAGTCATGAGCATGACACGGTAGTAACTAGTGTGTCACAATAACCAATAACTAATTATTGTAGTTTGATCAAAACATTGAGAGTAATTCATTTCCTTGATGAGGACCAATAAACAGTAACAATCAATAACATAATTCCCTTGAGAAATATACACGTAATCAGCAGTCTTCAAAGACATTCTAACAAAATAGTAAAAGAACAAGACTAACCGATGTGGTATTCCAATTACAAAACTTTCAACACCAAGAGCAGACGAAGAGTCAATGACAGCTTTCATTGCTGGTATTAAAACTTCACATCCCTCAAGTCCAAAACGTTTTTCTGAACTCCATTTCTTTGCTAAAAATGATTCGAAACGCGTTGAACGAACAAGACGAGCTAATATTAAACGTTTCTCTTCAATTGATAAATCCATTGAACCAGGTGTTTCAAATTTACGTCTTATCCAATCACATTTATTTAAACTATTAATAAACATATACTCAATACCAATATGTTTGCAGTAAACATTCTGAAATTAATATGAAAATATTTCAAAAACAAAATAGAACTAGTATAAGAGGAATGACTTCTCAAAATTCAATCTTCATTAAATTTAAACATTATCTTAAATATAAGCTTAAAATGTTAACAGTTGAATGGTTCAACAGTCCTATCATGATACATCAAAACTGGAGAAAATTAAGAAAATCAATGACAAATGAACTTGTTAATATTTATTTATTTGGACACAAATATTGGTACAAGGGAGCACCAAATATATATGCGCCACACAAAACAATGAGAATTCGAAGAGAAAAAAGAGGGTAAGGTGCGTATAGGGAAAAAAGAACAGTAACAACCACAGACTAGTGTAAGGTAATGTAATAATAATAATAATAGTAATAATGGGGTAAACGGAAAGGTATAACCAGAAGAATTCTTTCAGTTAAGGAAGATACAACCACTTTTTATGAAGAAAGTAAAAGAAGGTTACAGCAGGATCGCCACTGGCTTCTACTCTGAGCCATATCTGATAACGTCTCTAGCCACTGTGTTGCACCATCTCTCGGATCCCAGCCAGGGAGTCGTGAAGGAGAAACAGAAGCCAGCCCTTTGCAGCTTTCTTTCAAACCACGACACCATGTCATACACTGACCACCTCTCCGTTTTATCCAACCAGTCCTAGCGTCGGCAAATAATGCACGACGTGGAATTCTCCGGGACGACATTCGTAGAACATGCCCAAGCCACCGAAGTTAATGTTTCAAGATGGTGACACCAATTGGATTATCGTGCAACAAGTGTTGCACTTGTTAATATTAATGATTGTAAAAGTCCATTTCATTCCCAACAAACTCAAAGCTATATTATTAGACTTACCATAAATAGAAACCAATAATTTTTTCGAATCGTAGACGAATTTTGATAAAATGAACCAAAATTATTTTACATCTACTCAAAAATTCGTTAATAGTTAACAGTTTTCAAGTTGGCTTTACAAACTACTGTCTAATGAGTAACAATTACTTCTACTAATTATTATCATCTCGAACGAATTCACTAGAAAACTTTTTATCATCTACGTTTACGTCTATATGAGTGAAGAAGCTGCACAAGATCCTTCCTTAACCATGTGGCTTTTATCGTAATTATATGTAACTCGAAAAAGATTCTCGTTTGAACAACAAAACTTAAGTCTACTAGTTACCGAACTACCAATATATAATAAAAATACCAATCCAGAATTAAAAGTTATGACTCTACATCAAAATAATGTTGTTACCGAAAATTTACCTCTAAACGCCTAATGATTTCTCGTAGAGTAAGTTCCTGCTTATCACCTCCGATATGTGTGGTAGGTGGAAGCCTAAACGTCTTATCCAGGTCGGGCTCGCCTGTAAACAACAAAAGACTGATTAAAATTGGTGACAATTACGAATAATAATCGTTAAACACAATTACCCATAAGAAAACAAACAAAATAAACTTCCATTCACAGCATGCACCGATATTACAACATCTAGACAAAAGTACAACAACCTGACGATTTTAAATACTAGTCTTCTCTTCTGAACTCATGAAGTGCATTTTTAAAGTCAAATTAGACTATTTATCGTAAAAAAAACAACAGAATTAGATCCAATGGAGACGACCTACAAAACCCAACCCGAAACACAAACCTAGATTCCAAAGTTTTGGTATGTGTGAACAGTAATAATAAGCTTTCATACAAACAAATTCGGGATGCTTATTTAAATAGCTGAAATTAGGCAGTTGAAATACCTAAAATTACAGTCTTTGCTTAGCATTTATCAGGATGCTGCATCTTTACTGTAAAGAAAAAGCATGCTTTTTATAATATCCGGCGATATTTAAAACAACATGTATGATAATTGTAAACAGTCGAACCGTATGCAATATTATCGTTTTCATTAATAAGAGATCATACGGACACAAAACAACTTTAAACAAATTTACAAGCTAAGACTGAACAACGCTGACCTAACATATCTAACAGACTTACTTTTATCACCTAGGTACCTTTGATAAACAATGTGTCTGGCTATGCCGGGTTCTGGAGACGTAATACCTAAAGGATCTAGATGCGCAGCAAGATGACCACGCATCTAATACATACGAGACACGTGAAAAATCAATATAAAACATGGCAAAAATAAAACTGTTCAAAGATAAATAAAACCGCTCTTAAGATCAACCTACCAAGGTTGTAGAAACTCAACGACAACTCGGGGGGTATAGAATCATCCAGATCGGCAGACAATATCCCCAATGGGTCAAGATCGGCGATGCGATGACCTAGAGACTGAACAACGCTTCAAACGTTTAGTCAAGCATCAACACAATATACGATATTTGTGGACTTACCAAAATTGATTTGATCCAGTAAAATATATCTTACTTCGTTACATTTCACAAAGTATAGGTGAATAGATGAAACCAGATGTTCATAATATTAAAAGGAGTAAAAGCCGTCACCCTAAAGGCTCGAAGTGAATTAATGTCTAAAGTGACTATCATAGCGATCTTCAAGCCTCAACAACAATTCATCTCTACAAGCCATCATAATTACACCTTTTAAAAAAGATTGATTTAGCGATTAGAACAAGTGTTCTGTTTGCTAGAAATCTAAACAAACTATTGTAGCTATCAGAAGAAACACAGATGATTTCTAAACACTTGTGACTATAGAGCTTTAAGGATCAAATCATCGATTTCTTCCTAGTCTAAGTACAAGGTTATCCATTGACCTGCTTAAATGTGTAGGTAAATATCTGTGTTTTCTTAAAACGAATCCTTCTACTTCCCTTTTTCTAGTTATTCTTAACACTGTCACACATTTTGTCAGATGAGGTTCCCTATATTTCTTCACAAAGCGCGCAGACTGACTGTACACATTTTCTTTGAACAAAAGTAAGAAAATCTAGCTATATGCATCCTTTGGGGGGATGGGTGTTAGTTAAGATAGTTTAGTTAGTTAAAAGCAGTAATCTGAAACTGAAGATAATTAGTCTTCTTATCCTACATCATTAACCACGTTTGTAAAAAACGATGATGTAGTGTTTACTTACCTGTTATCTGATTGCTTATCTCAGTGTTTTATTTATTTGAACACTTGAATATTGGTACAAAGGGGCATCGAATACATATGCTCAAAACACGCCACTTGGTTTGTATGTGGGCTGTGGTACTGCCCAGGTGCCCAAACTGAAGCAAGTGGTTTCCTTACGGGGCACACCCGGAGCCTTCGACCTAAAGGTTCGGTCCACAAGGCAATGGAGCAACGTCAGGCGATGCAGTCCCATGGTAGCCGATGACTGTGGTAAGGAATGATAGACGTTGAGTAATTCCAATTAGAATTACATCAAAGTTTTGATAGCTTACCAGAGATAATTGGAGGCAACTAAATTGGTACTAAAAATTAGGCGTCGTATCGTTCTGGATTCATTTTTGTAAGTAGGACTTCAAAATGTAAAACAAACAACATTTGCTTCTGTAATGACTTTTGTAATAACACTAGAGGCTTAGGTTTAAAACTCAATAAGGTGACCGTAAATAATACGATTATTGGTGAACTATCATATGCAAAGAAATTTTTTTACATACTGCACTTACTGAATGCCAACAGAAAACTGTTCGCATTCACAGAATGTGAGATACTAATCAATCCGCGTAAAAAATATCCTAAATATATACAACAATAAAATTTAAGCTACGGGACTCACTTGATACGAACGGATTATGGCCTGAACACAGAGGTGGTCTTCAATAGCTTTAAGACTCGGTGTCACTGCCTGTGCAGCGATTTGTGGGGCTAACTGTGCCAATTTCAAACCCTCTTTACCCAAAGTAGGTGGTTGAACGTAAGCATTTCCTGGGGTAGCTCCAGAAGCTAAACATTTAAAATAAATGTCCCATGACTAACTGTCACTAATAAGCTTGAATAAATACCTTGTGTACACTATCAGGGTTTCGAAGCCATGCTTCATATATGTCTTCTAAATAATTGGATGAAGTTCCATTTAAAAACGGTTCACTGGAGGTAGGGTTTTGATAGCGTAATGCTGAAGTATATAAACACTTCCGAGTGATGTACTGAAGTCGCAAAGTCTTCAGAGCTCGTAAGGACAGCATACTGCAACGTTGAACTATATACACAGGATAAACGTACAGAATATGAAGATTACGGGCAGGAAAGTAAATACGCACATAAAAGGTTATCCTTTGATTAATAGACGGGAGAGAATGACTTGAGAAGGCAATAAACTGTAAGATGCAAACGCACTTAATCAGTTACAATTCTTAGCACACAAAACGAATGAACAAAAATCGTTGAGTACTGAACCAACCTTCTCAGCTAAACTGCCCAAGCGAACTATCAACTTATTCGAGCTTTAGATCGTGGCAATCCCTTTTTACTCGGATGTACCGATTTGATATGTTGTATATAGTATCACATGATCTGTATTTTCCAAAATATTTCAAAAGCCTCTATATGAAAGACACAGGAGTATGTTTATGCCAGTAGAAATGAAGTTAATTTAAACCAACTTATCTGTTTTCTGAATTTCGAATCATATTTTTGTCAGGGTTACAAACACAGTGACTTAAACTGATTAGATGATAAATCCGACTCACCAAATTCACTTGAAAAGTGGCCTATCATGAACATATAACCACAATTTAATTATTTTTACCAGATTTTGTGAATGCTACGGGAATAGTTGTCGGGCACAGCCATTAAGCACACCACAGTTTAGGCTGGCAGAACATAACTGAACTTATCACGACTTTATACAGCTGGATTTATGCAGTGATGCTGAGTCCAAAAATAAGTTGTACTCTTATAAAAAGATTATCTATCCAAATTCTATCAACTACCAAGATGCTTGTTTATAAACACATTTTCCAGTGGGGAACATAAGCACAACATCCGGTAATGTTCTACATTTACATTTTATTTAGTCTGTGCTGGAACAGTGTAAGCAAGTCACTGATTAACATAAGTTAACGAATATCCTGTACGGCATCGCTTCTAGAATGCTATTCAAAATTATGGTAAGTAACGGGGCTGAGTAACTTTCTACATGTTATATATCACTGGAAGGACCTTTAGTCTTCAGTAATAAGGATAGTAGGTTGATGAACTTGTATTAATCCTGACACATTGCTTTCCAGTGAAGGTCCAGCTTCTCCTTGAAAGTATTCACTGATGGGGCTGATACTACTTGTTCGGGTAAGGCATTCCAATCATTGGCTACTCGATGAGAAAAATGGGACCCCACTTTAAGTTCATAAGATCGTGGTTTATGAACCTTCTTGCTATGACCTCGGAGATTATTAGTGCTGGAGGGAGCAAAAAGATAAGACATATTAACACCCAAATCATAATTAAAGCTACGAAATGCCAGTATAAGGTCACCTCGTGTCCAACGATACGACAAGGGGAAAAGATTTAGGCGTTTTAAACGCTCATCGTGAGAGAGTCTAGAAAGACTCTTCACTAATTTCGTTCCCTTACGCTGTAAACGCTCAATGGAGTTAGTATCCTTTACCAGACACGGGCTAACTGCTTGGATACAGTACTTTAAATGTGGTCTTACATATATAGGATATAAAATTCGGAACGTTTCCTCGTCAAAAGACAAATGAAACATCTTTGCCTCTTAAAAACATAGTTCCAACATTGAAACCCGAGGATTTTAGATGTTCTTACTGATACATCGAAAATACGTTAAACTTCAGTCGGCTTACAACTCGAATTCCCAGTGATCAACGTTGATTAGAATTCTACAACTTAGCGTTAAACCCAAAGTTGTCCCGCCTGAAGTCAAGAGCTAGGAACAAGCACAGGAAGCCGTCAAAAAAGAAAACATACTCAATGTAACTTCAGATACAAATATGTATTGCCTTAACCGTAAAAAATAGATTTCATTTTTGAAAACATGTGAAACAAGACTCGTAAATATTGGTTAAGTTGGCGAAAAAAAATAAAATGCTTTTTAACAAGTCTAAGGTATTCTTATATCAGGTACAACTCTATTAGCATTCCAATCACCTCTAAATGAGCAGAAATGCCCCACGACCGACAAGGCCGAAAGGTATTTGGTTGAAAGACGCGGGTCGTTGTACTGGCTATCAAAATAGTTCAAGTGGTGGTGGGCAAAGTTGAAGTAGTTTTACATCAACAGAGTCTAGTAACATTTATTCGCTATTCTCTGCACATATCGGTTTAGGCATATGAAAAAAACTCCAAAGAAGTGCTTGTAAATTAGTACTCAGTTTCAGTTTGGTAAGGACAGAAGTTTGGGTGGTCTGTTATAACCCACTGATTGGAATCCAGAAGTCCTTCTGAATTGTGCTTGAGCGTGTTGATGGAAGAGGCTCTAATCAGGTTTTGAGAAAATGGGTTTTACTCGTTGATGATTTATCATAAAGTCGATAGTCAGTTTGTAAGCAACTGACTCTGGTCTTGTGAACTTAAGTAGTGGTAAATAAATCCCAAAAACGAAGAGTTCTGTGAGTCAACGACATTCGATGTTGACCACATGAGTTTTATTGGACGCACATGGCTGAGGGCTCATGGTTAGGCATCCACACCAGATTACGAGTGGGTACGCCGTGCTTCATATCTCCTGCAAGCGCTAACCAGCTTAGATTGATCATTTCTCGATAGGTCGATAGCCTATCAAATATATCTTCGAACATCTTCGCTTCTGACTTCCGATCTGACTGGGTTGGCATATTTTGATTACAAAAGGTGTTACTGGTCAAGGCATTGTCAAACTCCGAATACCTGTGGCATCTTTACTTTTCTAGTACGCCTCATAAATTCTCTCTTTGGAAGACAAGAAAACGGATGGCATTTAGGACGAAAGTTCATTATTAACAATAATGTGAGCAAGCCAGTTGGAAAGCTGACTAGGCAGGCCATTTAAATACTGGTCTTGAAGCTGTATCTTGGAACACTTCACTAAGCAAATTACAGTTAATGTGTACTCTTTGTTTCCGTACATCTAAAAATCGTTTATCCACATGAGTATTTCACACCAAATTTAGATGTCACTCAACATAGATAACAGCCAGCCGTGTGGAATTTTATAAAAAGCCACACTATGGTCAATGAACACTGTATTTACGGTTAACTTTTAACTTTTATTGACACAGCATCTTTCTCGAGTTACCAATGAGTTCGTGATACATAAACACCATTCTCTAAAGCTGTGTTGCTCTTCTAAATAAGTCGTATTTTTATCTAGATACTTAAAGAACTACTTGCGAATAGTTTTCTCCAGAATCTTGACAACTTTTCCGGTTAAGCTTATGAGAAAACAATTCTATGGTTTACATTTCGTACCTATAGCGAAGGCAGGACTTAACATAGCTCGCTTTCAGTTGATTAGTAATTTATCATGGGTTACGAACAGATAAAAGCATACGCTTGAGGAATCTGCGACAAAGTCTACGAGTTCCTTTAGTCACCCACCTTTAAAAAGGGTGACACCAGTCATATCGTGAGGGATGATTTGTATGAGCGGACCTTTAAATAAGTCAACGTCATACTTGATACAAATCTTTTTCTCCTTCCTGCTGAAACATTCATCGGACAACTAGAGGAGAAAGTAATGGAGGTTATAAAGTGTATATTGAGATCATGGGTATCTTAGTGTCTAACTTCTAAGCTGTCTAATTTTCAGAGTAAGTTAAACCAAGAACTCAATCGTGATTTGGCAAGAATGCTTGATCGGGCGTATTAATCAACTGATGTGTTCATTAAAACCAGTATGGCTGATGTCAACGTCAAATGCTTACATGTTGTTTGCTTTGGAAAATCATGAACAGCGACAAATATATGAGACTCACAAAGGTGACCCTCTGCTGAATTCTGATTATAGCATGATTCAGATTCATCCTAAATATATGAGAAGTTCAATTAGAGCACATGCCTTTCCCAGATGGCAGCCAAATGCACAAACCTCTCAGTGTTAAACACACAGGATCCAACAACATTTTCTGAATGATTAGAAAAAATTCATAAACAAGTGACTCATTATTAGACACAAATGATGTCATAAAATATCTTCAATTCTATTTTGCTGTTTTTCGTCCCAGTAAAGTGACCTCAGTAACACTTGAACAAATAACTGGCTCATAAACAGAGTTTTTCAAGGGAAACAGCAATTCAAACTCTCTTTCTAAAAAAATTCGCTGGTGTGTTATGTCGTTCTTTAACGTACATCCCTAGAGGGTCTCTCACAACCAGTTTTTTATCAATATTGCGGAAAAAATAAGCGATATGTCAAGTAATAGTTATGTAAACTTTAGGATTACAGTAGTAACCACATTTTTTCTCATAACAATGGAGGGAGCATGGCTGCTTTTATTTCAGCCTGAACTGAAGAAAGTTACCTATTCATAGTAGTTTGCTCATAAATGAGAAAGAAGTTCATTGTACGATGCTGCTATCCTGCATTATGACATCATGATTAGTTGGGGAAAAGGTGAAAAATATGTTAGATGCGTATTTTAAGGCAATACCTTTCCTTTTTTACTGTCACAGGATACCGAAGAATAGAAAATGTCATTTACAAGCTGGTGGATAAAGACAAGGTTTAATTTAATGCACCTGACCCAGAGAGGTTCTAACTTCCGTTGTTGGCATCTGGTGATAGTACTTGTTGCCGGAATCTCATCAAAGTTGCCGTTCGAATGAGGTTGTCTGTATATGCATACCACCAGTAGATACTT